TTTGCTCATATTTCTCAGTATTATCCTTAGTAAGCCACCCCCCTTTTCCTGGTATTCCTGGTAAAACCTTTGTAACTCCCCTTCTAAAATTTTCTGGATCTGCCACTGATGTATACAAAAATGTTTTTCTTGATTTCAATTTTTGATATTTAAAAATATTCTTATTATTGATTCGTTCGTTCTAGTGTGTGCTTGTTTAATTATCAACTTATTGTTTGATTTTAGATGAATGTTGAATAACAAGTAAACCTGAAGATGGATATGTTCAAGAAGACTACTTTTGTAAGGTTTTGCTTTGCGTCGGCCTACAAGTTGCCAGAGGAACTTGGACTGTCAACTGAACAGCTGATTTGTCTGTACAAAGAATGCATAGAGTTGGATAAACACTGTAATGATATAAGTATCATGATGAATTCATGCATTCAGTTCGTAAAGCTTAGCAACAGTATAGGTAGACATGCTGATTCACTGAGGTGTCTGAAGGAAATATTACCGTTAGTTGTAGGAATACTAAGCGCCGAGTTAATAGTTCATAGACATTTGTCCATCACATATAAGGAGCTCAACGAGTTTGAAAACGTTGTCTTGCACGCTAAGAAAGGGATAGAAATTGCTCAAAGTATAGGCGATAAAAAAAAAGAAATGTATGGACAGCATGAAATGGGAAAGGCGTTATCATTCTTAGCTCGTTATGATGATGCTATTAACTGTGGCAAAAAATGTCTTAAAATTGCCCAGGAAATTGTTAGTCCCGAAGGCATGATGGATGCATATGACTGCATAATGATCGCATATAAATACATGCAGAAATATGATGACACTATACTGTATGCGCACAAGCTCCTTGATTGCGCCAGGGAAAACAACAATCAGAAGATTATGATGGACGCGTACTTAGAGCTAGGAGTAGCACATTGTGCCTTGAATCACTATCAAGATGCCACTGACTTTGGACAGAAATGCATAGAAATAGCAAGGGAAATAGAAGACAGATGTGGTGAAGTCAAGGCTTACCTATTAATGGGGAAGATATATTACGCTCTTTCCGACTACGACAATGCAATTATCTATTGCAAGAAATGTATTGAGCTTGCAGTAACTATTGGCGAAAAACGTGCGGAGGCTGATGCTTATAGCTTCCTTGGAGAGATATATATTTCCTTGGAGAAATACGATGATGCCATTCAAAATTTCAAGCAATGCATCGATATCGTGAAGCGTTTTCGTTTCGAGAAGAAACCAGCAGTAAATGCTTGTTTTTGTCTAGGAAAGATATATCACAAACTGGATCAGTATAATGATGCAGTGCATTATTTCAAGAAATGCATCGACATGGCACAAGAAACTGGTGAGAAAAAGATTGAAGCACAAG